GGGGTTGTTAACCAATGTCATAAAACAGCATGTGTGTTACTGTTACATGAGAAACTATCTGTTCTATAAGCCTTCACCTGAAGTACAATAAAATATTAAAAAAAAAAAGAAAATAAATAAATAAATAAATAAAAATTCTAGAGGAAATTACAAGGAATGATGGCAGTGGTTATCTTTAGGAAGGGGGACAGGCTGACAGTGAGCAAAAGAGCTTTCTGTCTTCATCTTGCAGCTTTTGGTATTACTCGATTTTTCTGACTAGGTACATGTGCATAATCTTTCTTCTGACCCTTGAGGCCAGATGTATTTGGGGATTCTATTTTTTTTTTTTTTCTCATTTTAAAAGATCGTATGATCTATATACTATATATTACATAAAATCCTCAGTGGAGTCTGGGAGCCACATACCATATTCAAGTACATAAATATTTCTGCAGTGCAGTATGATTATTCACACTAAGGGAGATTTAAAAAGAAAAAAAAAAGACTATGAATCTCACTTAATCAGGTAAGATCAGGTCAGGCGTTTTATACCAAATTAGGTTTCAGGACTCTTTGGAATTCAGAATTTCAGATAAGGGATTGTGCACTTAAATTAGTACTATTTGTTTTTTCTAATAAATAACAGGGCATATTTGAGTAATGAGATATGGACCACCTTGCATCACCACTCATCTGTCAGTTTGTCATACTGCGGTGGCTTGCATGGTGCTGTGATGCTGGAAGCTGTGCCACAAGTGTTTCAAATACCAGCAGGGTCACCAATGGTGGACAGGTTTCAGCAGAGTATTATAATGACATGTACAAAGACCTGGAGTTAGAAAACTAAAGCTAAAGAACACACTCCACATTTCTCAAGCTGAAACAACTGAAGAAAAAATTCAAGCCTCGAGTTGCAATATTGAAGGATTCTATGGGCAAAATATCGAATGATGCAGGAAGCATCAAAAGAAGGAATACACAGAGTACTGTACCGAAAAGAACTGGTTGACATTCAACCATTTCAGGAGGTAGCATATAATCAGGAATCCATGGTACTGAAGAAGTCCAAGCTGCACTGAAGGCATTGGCTAAAAAGAAGTTGCCAGAAATTGACAGAATACCAATTGAGAAGTTTCAACAAATGGATGCAATGCTGGTAGTGCTCACGCCTTTATGCCAAGAAATTTAGAAGGCAGCTACCTGGCTCACTGACTGGAAGAGATCAATATGCTTGCCTATTCCAAAGAAATGGAATGCAGAAATTATCAAACAATATCATTACTATCACATGCAAGTAAAATTCTACTGAAGATAATTCAAAAACGGTTGCAGCACTACATCGACAGGGACCTGCCAACAAATCAAGCTGGATTCAGAAGAGGATGTGGAATATGGAACAATGCTGATAGCAGATGGATCTTGGCTGAAAGCAGAGAATACCAGAAAGATGTTTACCTGTGTTTTATTGACTATGCAAAGGCATTCAACTGTGTGGATCATAACAAATTGTGGATAATATTGTGAAGAATGGAATGCTAGGACACCTAATTGTGCTCATGTGGAACCTGTACATAGATCAAGAAGCAGTTGTTTGAACAGAACAAGGGGATACTACAGGGTTTAAAACCAAGAAAGGTGTGTCTCAAGGTTGTATCCTTTCACCATACTTATTCAATCCTTATGCTGAGCAAATAATCTGAGAAGTTGGACTGTATGAAGAAGAACACAGCGCCAAGATTGGAGGAAGACTCATTAATAACCTACAATATGCAGATGACACAAACTTCCTTGCTGAAAGGAAAGAGGACTTGAAGCACTTACTGATGAAGATCAGTATGGATTGCACCTCAACATAAAGAAAACCAAAATCCTCACAACTGGACCAATAAGCAACATCGTATTAAATGGAGAAAAGATTGAAGTTGTCAAGGGTTTCATTTTACATGGATCCATGAGCAACGCTCATGGAAGCAGCAGTCATGAAATTAAATGACATATTGCATTGGGCAAATCTGCTGCAAAAGACTTCTTTAAAGTGTTAAAAAGCAAAGATATTACTTTGAAGACTAAGATGCGCCTGACTCAAACCATGGTATTTTCAACCATCTCATATGCATGTGAAAACTGGACAATGAATGAGGAAGACTGAAGAAGAACTGATATCTTTGAATTATGGTGTTGGTGAAGAATACTGAATATTCCATGGACTGCCAGAAGAATGAACAACTCTATCTTGGAAGAAGTACAGGGAGAATGCTCCTTAAAATTAAGGAAGGTAAGACTTCATCTCATGTACTTTGGGCATGTTATCAGGAGGGACCAGTCCCTGGAGAAGGACATCATGCTTGGTAAAGTAGAGAGTCAGCAAAGGAGAGGAAAGTACTCAAGGAGATGGACTGACACAGTGGCTGCAATAATGGACTGAAACATAGCAACGATTGTGACTATGGTGCAGGACGAGGCAGTGTTTCGTTCTGTTGTACATAGGGTTGCTATGAGTCAACACCGACTTGATGGCACCTGACAATAACATGTCTTTATACTATGCCAAATTTTTTTATTGTTGAAAAAATATAAAGAACATGACATTTGCTAATTCAACATTTTTCACATGTACAGTTTAATAAAACCAATTACATCAATCATGTTGTGCAATCATCACCAATTTCTGTTGCCATATTTTCTGTTCCCATAAACAAAAACTCAGTGCTACCTGCTAACCACTACTAAACTCTAATCTCTATACATTTGCCTATTCGAGGTATTTATCTGCTTACTTTTTACTCCCAGAGTTGATTGAGAGTCATATGCTTAGATTTTTTGAACAAGGAGAATGAACTCACTAGGCTTTGCCAATCCCCAAATGACGACTAAGAGAAAAGAGAGTCTGTAATTCAGCAAACAGCTATGAGTTCTAAATTCAATACCAATGTGGATCAATGTTTCTTACTTTGCAGAGTAGGAGAAGTAGGGTGAGGAGCTCTCCTTGTTGAATTCAAACCTCGAGCTAGGAGAGATGCAGAAAAGAGGACAATGCTCAGCAGGCATTCAATCTATAGCAAGTTAATGCTGCTGAGAACAGTGAAAGGACTATGACTCAATTCTAACAATAAGATACACATTTAGGCTTAGAACCCATTTTTCATGGAATGCCACCTTTATTGTCTCAGGTAACATAGGGGTTTATTCCACCTCATGGTGAAACCATTGCTCCTATACCTGCTGGAATGAAACTGTGGCTTTATTTCAGTGGCTTTTGGTACTTTTTTGTGACTGCCTCACTGTTAAAGATGCACGTTAAGATGGCAAGAAAAACAGATTTCTAATTTTATTTTCAGGCTGCTGCTCTGGTTCATATCTACACAGATGGGTCTGTGTTGGTTGCTCATGGTGGAGTTGAACTGGGACAAGGTATTAACACCAAAATGATACAGGGGAGAGAGATTGTTTCAGTTTTGCTATTGGCCAAGATTAGAATTCATAGCAGAATCTCAGACTCTGTATTATTCGATTAATCTCTAGGTTTTGTGATGCAATGACCAGAATTGCCCACAAGTGTCCCCAGAGGTCACTCTGGATTACCCAGAAATGAGCCAACTGGGACTTGGAAGAGAGGTTCAGTTTTCTTCTCTAGTGATAGGGGCTCTACAGCAAAACTCAGTTTCCCAAGGCACTAGTAGCTCCCTTCCTTGCCCTTCCCTCCCCTGGAGGGGTTATGCCCAGGTGCTGGGCAGCCAGTATTCCCAGGCAACTCCTGAACATAATTAGCACCCCAAATTCAGACTTCCTGCTTCCATACAACCTGTTCATTCTCCCATCAACAAGTCTACATTCTCAAGCTCACCCTATAAAAAAGGAGACCCATACAGGGCAAGCAAGGGTCCCTCCTCTGGAGTATGGACCCATGTTCATGTCCAGTAGAGTACTCGGCCCCAGCAGGCCTCTGTGAGTGATGAAAAGATGGAGAATCCGTCCTTTCTCTTCCCTTGCTAACACATGGCTTTGTAAGATCCCCCTGCCCCCAAGAGAGCCTATTTTTAAACCCATGCCATGAGGTATTGTGGGATTTGTCTTAAACCCTAGTACACAACAGTTTTGGGGGATGGAGAAGAACTTCTATTTTAAAGAATTTGAAAACTCTTGAAAAGTTTAGGGTTGCTTGCATATGTCTACCTAAACCATAGATTATGAATCTCGTAAAAGCGGGGGCGGGGGGAGTCTTTACTAATAAGTTTAAATCATTGTCCCAGTTTCACCCTGGACTGACACATTCTGTCTGCTTGTTTTCTGTGCAGGTGGCAAGCCGTGAATTGAAGATACCCATGTCTTACATACACCGTGGCGAGACGAACACTGTGACAGTGCCCAACACGATTGCCACCTCAGCATCCACAAGTGCAGACATCAATGGAAAAGCTGTGCAGGTGATGGCTTTACTGACCCCCAAACTTCTTTTAAACCTCGGACCCGTTTTCCAGAGGAGCCCCTCTGCTCTAATGTAGAAATTCCTCATGATGCTTTTTCACATGACCATTGGGCAAAAGAGAGTAAAACACAGTATCATAGTGTTTCTCTGTTCCACCCGAAATAGTGGGCCTTGAAATATTGTTCAGTAATATACATTCTATTTTTCCTAAAAAATAATTTTAGGAACACATTCCCAAGACACTAACTTCACAAAGGCAGGAAACGCTGCCTCCTTCCTGAAGTATTATTTACAGTATAGAATGGAATATGGCCCAATCATTCCCAGCCTGGCCATGGAAACCCACAGCAGGAAGGCAGCACAGGGAGAATCCTCAGATGGAGATTGTTGTACCTTGAGATCTGTATTAACAAGCAAGGAAGTTATTTCTTTGGAGCCTTTGAATATAAATTGGCACCACTCCTATACCCTTGTCATTTCACTCTACCATCAAGCAGAACAAAGTTATAACGACTCAGAACAAAGACGGCCCCAAAGAGCTTTGAAAGGGGAGTGGGGAAGGTCTCCTTCATTCAGTCAGCTGAACTTCAATACCAATGCCAAGAGTAAATTACTGAATACCTGGTAACTTTGTAACCATTCATGTTACAAGCATTTCTTCAACAAAGCTCTATGGGTATATCTAGAATAACTGAGATACTAATAACAAGCACTGTAATTACCTAATTTTATTTAATATTTAAATCAACCTCCAAGCAGATATTAGTTAAGGTGACTATATCATCCAAACCAGGGTGCTTTTCTGAGTGAAAGAAGCCACTAACTTTAACCCAAATGCAGCAAGCATAAAAGGGGATCGTCCTGAACGAAATCCTAGATTTGTCCTAGAGTTGGTGTCTCCATGTCACAGATGAGATCACCAAGGTGTGGAAAGCGCCAGTCACTCTTGCGCTAAGAAGCAGCAGAGCTATTTGATCCCAGGGGTGTCTGATCCAAAACACACATCTCCTTCCACACCACTTGCCTTTCTCTGTACCTGATCTGGGAACAGTTCTTATGCTCACTGCTTTCCATAGTGGTTGTCATAGTCTCGCTAAGTAAGCAATGCATCTTAAATGGAACCTTAACACATAAAGCAAGTAAAAACAGAGCTCTTTTGGTTGAACTGGGCAAGTGGGACTTGTATTCTGTCTGGCTTCCTCTCCCCCAACCTCCCGAGGCAGCTCTCCAAATCCCAACTTGGCTTATGGCTGCCGGGAATACCAGGACCTGGCCCTTGCCTAGATATGGAGACAAACCAAATAGCAGATATCTGAGAGGAGAGGAATGGTCAGAGCAGGGTGATAAACACAGTTGCACTTGAATTAGCTGACACTCGTGTCCTTTTCCACCTGCAGAACCCCTGTCAGACCCTGAGGAGATGCCTGGAACCCATCATCAGCCGGAGTCCTCATGGTTCCTGGGAAGACTGGGTGAGTACCAAGTATCTTTGAAGCCTGCATAGCTCCCATTGGAGCTTCTTGGTAGCGACACCTGTCCCATGGTATCTGCGTCCCACACAGCTTCCTTTTCTCCCCTGAACAGCACAGGGTAGTGCTTCTCGATCTTTAATGAACAGACGGATCACCTGGGCATCTTGTTAAAATGCAGATTCTGATTTAGTAGGCGTTGGAAGTAGCCTGGGAGTCTGCATTTCTATCAAGCTCCTATGCGATGCTTCTGCTGCTGGACCACACTTTGAGTTGCAAGAGCATAGGGGCAGATGTATGTCATCAACACATCTCGCAACCAGATCCTATTGAACAGAAATTTGCAGTTCAGCTGAACATTTATTCCCACCTGCAGCGGTAGCTCAGAGGTGTTAACTGCTGTTCTTATTTAAATGCAACCTGGTATTGTCTGGTTATTAGCAAAGGAAGGTAGAACCTACACCATCTAGCTCACTTTTAGAAATTTAAAAGAAAAAGAAACAATAAATTGAAAGGGAGCTCTTGCATGAGAAGCTGTTATCTTGGATCATGTTCTGAAAAGTATCTTCAGTAAAGGCTACAAACGCTTGCTATTTTCCACGCACACACATTTCGGACATTCATGGGGAAAACTGGATAGATATTTTCTGAGTAGTAATCACTGTTCTTCTTTCAGCAATAAAAGTTTTGATGATAGAACATGACCCTAATAAAAGTTTGAGGGAGCAGAGGTTATGCAAATCCTCAGGAAGCAGTGATATTCCTGGGGAACATATATACATATACTCGTTGTTGTTGTGTGCCGTCAAGTCGATACTGACTCATAGTAACCCTATATGACAGAGTGGAACTGCCCCATAGGGTTTCCAAGGAGCAGTTGGTGGATTCAAACTGCTGACCTTTTGGTTAGCAGCCTGAGCTCTTAACCACTTCACCACCATAGCTGTGGCTACAACCTAGGCCCACTTCCCCGTGTATGGGGACCGACCAGAAGATGGAGACTCTTTGTCAGATTTTGTTTGAGGACCTGCATTTAAACTTCTACCGCAGATTTTTACCTTTGTCACTTTTTCACTTATTCTTTAGACAGATCCACCAAAACAGTGACTTCATCTCCTCAGTGGAAGGCGGACAAAGCCAATTCTACATCTTGAGACTGTGTCACAGCCCACTTGGGCACTATACTTGTTCATTCAGCAAGATAATACTCCCAATAATAAGAAAAAGTATGACAGCCACAAAATGGTTATTTCCCATGCTTCTTTTCATTTGACCAATTTTATATTCGTCCTTGGAAAACATTCCTCTTTTGCCGGTTAATAAAGTGTTCGCTCAAAGCATTAGTCTCTCTGCCACTGGATATTTTAGGTAAGGGTCATTGAAATATTTTCCCAAAATTATTCCCTTTTGGAATAGAAAGGAAGCTTAGAAATGTTGCACTTAATTGTTCATGTTTTTAATATTAAGTCCTTTATTATTTATTTTATTTCATTTTCACTGAAGAGTTTTCATTAAATAGAGAAATGTTTATTTTTCAGCTGTATTATCATAACTGGAAGGAAGACTTTTTTTTTTTTAAATATTTTATTGTACTTCAGGTGAAGGCTTACAGAACAGATAGTTTCTCATGTAACAGTAGCACACATGCTGTTTTATGACATTGGTTAACAAACCCACAACATTTTAACCCTCTAAAATTCTAAACTTTTTTTTTTTTTTTTGGTGAAAATACACATAGCCAAAGATACGCCATTTCAAAAATTTTTTTACATACACATTTAAGTGACATTGACTATGCTCTTCTAATTGTGCTGTCATTCTCACTTAAGATGAAGGCTTACAGAACAAAATAGTCTCCCATTTAACAGTTACTACAAATGTTGCCCTATGACAATGGTTAACAATCTCACAACACATCAACAATATCCTTACTCTACTTTGTGTTCCCTATCATCAGCTTCCTACACCCCTTCTGCCTTCTGGGCCTTGTCACTGGACTCCTGTACCTCGTTACTCTCATAGTTTTACTGGGCTGTCCACTCCCAGGCTGAACAGTGAACCTCGAAGGTAACTTCACCACTAAGCTAAAAGGGTGTCTGGGGGCCATACTCTTGGGGTTTCTCCAGTCTCCTTTAGGCCAGTAAATCTGGTCTTTTTTCTTTTTTTGTGAGTTAGAATTATGCTCTACATCCTTCTCCAGCTCTGTCCAGAACCCTCTGTTGTGATCCTGGTCAGAGCAGTCAGCGGTGGTAGCCGGGCACCATCTAGCTGTACTGGACTCAGTCCGGTGAAGGTCTTGGTAGCTGTGGACAATTAGTCCTTTGGACTAATCTTTTCCTTGTATCCTGTTCTCTTCATTCTCACTTGCTCCCGAAGAGATGAGACCAGTGGAGTATCTTAGATGGCCGCTCACAGGCTTTTAAGACCCCAGACACTACTCACCAAGGTAGAATGTAGAGCATTATCTTTATAAGTAGTGTCATGCCAATTGAGCTAGATGTTCCCCAAGACCATGGTCCCCAGAGCCCTCCGTCCAGCAACTCAGTCCCTCGGGGAGTTTGGATGTGTCCATGGGGCCTCCATGACCTTTCCTTGTACAGGTTGTGTTAGTTTCCCCTGTATTGTGTACTGTCTCACTGGAAGGAAGACATTTTGAGATGAGTCCTCAGATGTCCTACACGTAATGCCTTATTCCACATAAACCAGCCCCAGGTTTACAAGTTTGATGTTAACAGTCCTGTGCATGGTGTGGACAGTTCAGAATAGAGGTATTTTGCAAAACGTTTAGTGTTATCCAGAATGCATTTAGCACTTAAACACCTTTCAGTCTTTGCGTCCCTCCCCTCCCAGTTATTTAGCAGTGTTTTCTTATGTAGCCTTTGGTGCTCTCTTCTATTTCTTGCTCTCCAGGAATATTGTCCCACAGCCTATCTTCTGGGGCCTTCTTTTCTTGCCAAATGAGGACTTGGTTATAGAAGGTGGGAGTCAAACCAGAGATGACGCAAACATCCTCATACAAACAGTGTGGGGAGCTGAGCAAAGTACCAAATCAGACTAGGGGGTTTGTCCAAGCAGGCAACAGAGAACTGCCACTAGAAGCAACCAGAAACTCACAGCCTGCTCTTACCATATGGCCATATATGGGCATATATGGGCACATCTCTTGGGTTTATTTGGAGGGTACTATGATTTTCCTGGTGATGTCTATAAAGATAGGCTGTTCTCTGGAGGTGGGTTGGATCTTGCTTGAATGGGAGGCCATTCCCAATGTCAATGAGCCATCACAGTCATAGCTTGCATTCTTTGCTTCCTTCCCCTCCCAATTACTCTGCGTTGCCATTTTTTTTCTTTTCCTTGCTTACCTTCTGCTTCATTGAAGAATCCCTTCTTCCTTCCAAGACTCATCCTTTACCTATCCTATGGTCCTGTCTTCTCCTGTGCCCTCTGAGACCCTGTTCCATCAATTATCTCCTTTCTCTGTATCTTTGCTGTGGTTCATTGACTCCCTCTTACAAATATGCTCAACTTGCCCTGACTCATTAAAAATAACAAGCAAAATCAACCAACAATAACAAACAAAAACTTTCTGTCACTCATGCTACCTCCCTGGAATTCAGCTATGGTTTCATCTTTCCCCTTCCTTTTCCCACCAAACTTTTTAAGGTAAGTCTAATTTGCCTGCCTCCACTTACCCAGCAGAGGCCCTGGTGGCACAGTGGTGAAGAGCTCAGGCTGCTAACCCAAAGGTCAACGGTTCGAATCCACCAGCCGTTCCTTGGAAATCCAATGGGGGCAGTTCTACTCTGTCCTGTAGGGTCGCTGTGAGTCAGAATCAACTCAACAGCAATGGGTTTGGTTTTGGTCTTTACTCTTCCAGCACCCTCATTTCTTAATCCACTGCAAAATGGCTACCTCTTGACACCGCTTTACTGCAACTACTCTCTTTAATGTCACAAAACATTTTCTACTGAACCATTTTTTATATATTCTCTGTAATTAAACTTACTTCAAACTTACAAGTGAGGGGGCATTGGTGCTTCAGTGGTAGAATTCTCACCTTCCATGTGGGAGACCATGGATTGATTCCTGGCCAATGCACCTCATGCGCGGACACCACCCATCTGTCAGTGAAAGATTGCATGTTGCTGTGATGTTGAACAGGTTTTAATGGAGCTTCTAGACTAAGATAGACTAGGAAGGAAGGCCTGGCCATCTACTTCCAAAGATCAGCCACTGAAAACCCTACGGATCACAACAGTCCAATCTACAACCAATCACGGAGATGGCGCAGAACCAGACGGCATTTTGTCTGTTGTGCATGGAGTCGCCATGAGTTTAGGACCGACTTGACAGCAGCGAACAACAACAACAAACTTATAAATATTATAGCTCAATGATGTGGCTTCAGAGTCACAAATGGATTTCATCTCCAATTGGTTTGTAGGGACTGCCTGAAGGACTGTCTTGAGAAGCATTTTGGAGCCAGATGTGAGCTCCGCTAGAAAGGGTGATGAAATAGATTAGTGATATTTGTCATGGGATGCATGTAAAAGGATGGCAGGACCATCCCTGGGTCAGACGCTTTGTATATATTATCTCATTTAATCTTCCCCAAACCTTGCAAGAGGAGGATTCTCATCCCTCTTCGTAAATGAGGAAACTGAGACTCAAACAGTTTAGGTAGCTTGCCCAAGGTCACACAGCTGGCAAGTAGCAAAGCCCAGACTCAGACCTAAATCTATCTGATTCGAGTGTCCCTGCTTTTTCCACTTCACCACCCTTATAACTACTTTCATTTTACTGATGGAAAAACGGGGTAGTACAGTCAAGAAACAGCAACAGAACTCAATAGTCAGGATCATTGCTTCTAGTTAATCCTTTTCTTCTTCTTTTTTTGTTATTGTCATGAAGTACTTAGTTAAGTTACAAATCCTTGCCCCCATTACACTAAGTAACCCTTCTTTCAGTAGTCTATGTTGGAGTTAATCATCTTTTAGCAAAAT